GTAGACAGGGTCAGATCCTGTAAAAAATATAATGAAATCAATAAATTAATCAGTTTTTTTTTCGATAAAACAATAATATAACCGACAAAACTTGAAGAAGTACTGTAATGAAACAGGCACTTGCATATTGGCTAGAAAGCTTTGCAGATCCTCAATAAAGGAAGAACTAGAGACGTGAAGGGTTCGGTCTCCAAGTCTAAGTAAAAAGCGGGTGGTTGGTCGAAGGAAATATATATTATATTTCAGAAATCTGCCTAAGCCCACGGCCACACAGAAAGCGTTTTTTGCGTTTTTGGTCTTGCTTTGTCTTTAGCGACTCAAACAAAATAACAGGATTATATAGGAGTGGCCACACCAAAAGCGTGTAGCGTTCGGCGTGTCTCGCAAAAAAACGCTTTCTGTGTGGCCGTGGGCCGTTTTCTGTAGCGTCTTTAGCGTTTTCTAAGATGAGACCGCGTCATAGGCGGACGTTATATTTAATAATACAATAAAAGTAAATTAAATAGTATGCATTTTTTTTCATTTTAGGGTGTTATCTAAAAATATTTTTATCAAAGAACATCTACTGTTTAGGAAGATTCTATTAAATTCAAAAATTTGAAGGAAATGTTTGAAAAAGTATAGTTTGAAATGTTGAAAAAGTAATAAATTAAAGGAATATTTTCTTACGCGTAAAAATAGTTTGTTATACGTTATACGTTTTTTTCTGCATAATTATTTTTTTTTAACTGAAACAAATAGTTTTTGAGGCGTAAAAATAGTTTTTTACATGTAACCAATAGTTTTTTACACGTAAAAAATATTTTTTTGGGGTAAAAGAGTTTTTTACTAGAAACAATAAGTTTTCGACGCGTAAAAATTAGTTTTTTACGTGTATCAATTAGTTTTTTACACGTAAAAAATATTTTTTTTTGCGTAACAAAAGGTTTTTTACCATAAACAATAAGCTTTTGACGCGTAAAAAAATAATTTTTTACGTGTAAAAATAGTTTTTTACACGTAAAAAATATTTTTTTTTGGCGTAACAAAAGGTTTTTTACCATAAACAATAAGCTTTTGACGCGTAAAAAATTAATTTTTTACGTGTAACAAATAGTTTTTTACACGTAAAAAATATTTTTTTTTGGTAAAAAGTTTTTTTACCAAAAACAATAAGTTTTTGACGAGTAAAATTTAGTTTCTTACGTGTAACAAATAGTTTTTTACACGTAAAATTTTTTTTTATTAAAAATTAGTTTTTTACGTGTATCAATTAGTTTTTTACACGTAAAACATTTTTTTTTTTGCGTAACAAAAGGTTTTTTACCATAAACAATAAACTTTTGACGCGTAAAAAAATAATTTTTTACGTGTAACAAATAGTTTTTTACACGTAAAAAATATTTTTTTTTGGTAAAAAGTTTTGTTACCAAAAACAATAAGTTTTTGACGCGTAAAATTTAGTTTCTTACGTGTAACAAATAGTTTTTTACATGTAAAATTTTTTTTTTATTAAAAATTAGTTTTTTACGTGTATCAATTAGTTTTTTACACGTAAAACATATTTTTTTTTGCGTAACAAAAGGTTTTTTACCATAAACAATAAGCTTTTGACGCGTAAAAAATTAATTTTTTACGTGTAACAAATAGTTTTTTACACGTAAAAAATATTTTTTTTTCTGCGTAAGAAAGATTTTCTAACAGAAACAATAAGTTTTTGACGCGTAAAAAAATAGTATTTTACATGTAACAAATAGATTTTTACACGTAACAAATAGATCTATATGCGTAAAAAATAGTTTTCTACCAGTAACAAATAGTTTTATACGCGTAAAAATAGTTTTTTTACGTGTAACAAATGTTTTTTTACACGTAATAATTTGATTCACTTTTACAAAATTTATATTCAAATATCAATATTTTTGATAAACACGTGGACTGCTCACAAATGACACGTCGCGTCACTACGTATTTCTAAGCCGTTAACACGTTTCGTTACAACGAGCTCGTGTGTCAGTGCCGTCTCACTAGCTCGTATGTCACGGCCTTGAATTTTTACTCCCAGCGCGAGTAAAGAAGTTTTACTCCAAAAAGTTTCATAAATCATGTCCTAAAATTGCATTAGCAACTAG